CGGGACCGCCCTCGGGCCTTCCCGGTCCGCGAGGTGTCCCGGCCTCCGTGGACCCCGAGCGAGGCTCGCGTGCGCGGCGGCCCAGGAGGGGCTGGCTTGCTGCGCGTCTGGAGCTGTGCGAGGGAGAGCCAGAAACCTCGCCACCGCGTGTAGAAACGCTGCGCGAATGTGGTAAAAATTCCTTTACCTCGTAGCTGAGCTCCCGGGAAAGGAAAGGGGATTCCCAGGATTAACGAAAAAGTGAAGCAAACTAGGAAGGGGGAGGGTATAGGTCAGTGGTAGTGTGCATACCTACCATGCACAAGGTGCTGGGTTCAATCCCCAGTACCTCCAAGGAAAAAAAAGTAGATAACTAAACTTAATTACGCCCCCCCCCAAGCCGAAGTAAACTAGGAGACGCAGTACCCTGTAGCAGTCAGCACCCACCCCAGCCCCGGTCTCCCCCTCCCCTGCCCCAGCTCTAAGCGACCACTAATCTTTCTGCCTGTGTTCTGTGCGTTTCATCTGGATGGAGTCATACAGGTTGTGGCCTTTGCCTCTGCGTTTGGTTCCTAGACTTACTTAGCCTAGGGTTTTGAACGTTCATCCAGGTTGTATGATGTACCTTTTATGTGGAATAATGTTCCACGATGAGGTTAGAGCGCGGTTTGTTTATACAGGTGCTGACTCGAGCTGCCTGGAAGCATTTACTGGTGTCCAACCGGGGTGCTAGCACGGCGGCAGCAGACAAGACCTTGTTGGTTTGTGGGGGCCACGGCTTTGGGTCAGTAATGCTAAAGAGAACAGCCGTGTGTGTTAATCCCTTGCTGTGTGGCGGGCACTTTACATCTTTATAACTTCCCCAACTGTCATTTTGCAGGGTGAAAAGTAAGAGTTTAAATCAATTACCCAGGTTGCTCAGCTGCTGCTGGGGTAGCTGATGTTTGAATCCAGGGTCTGGCACCAGCCTTCGTAAAACCTTTATTGAGATACAATTCATGTCATAAAATCTACCCACCAAAGTGCACGATTCAATGGTTTTTTTGTTTTGTTTCGTTTTGTTGTAGTGTGTTTACAGATTTATGCAGTGATCGCTATAAACTCTGGAACATTTTCATCATCCCAGAAGGAAACCCCATACTTACCCTCAGTCATTTTGGCATCCGTGAATCTATCTTCTGTCTCTGTCTATTTGCCCTTCTGGGCAATTCACATAAATGGAGTAACTGCAATACGTGGCTTTCTGTGTCAGAGTTCTTTCACTGAGTTTTCGAGGTTCATCCTTGTACCATTATTTTTGTACTTTTCATTTCTCTGTTGTCCTTACTCTTTTTATGGCTGAAAAGTGCTCCATTGTATGGGCAAACCGGACCACATCACATCTTGTTTATCCATTCATACATTGATGGATAGTTAGGCTGCCTTTGACTTTTGGCTGCCACAGTAATACTGCTGTGTATGAATCTGCTGTGGATGCATGGAGCAGAATTGCTGGGATGTATGGTGCTCTGGACTTAGCTTTTGAGGAATTGCCAGATTATTTTCTGCAATGGCCACATCATTTTACATTTCCACTGGCAATGTGAGGGCTGCATTTTCTCCACATCTTTGCCAACACTTGTTGTTGTCTGTCTTTTTTATTGTAGTCATCCTAGTGGACGTGAGGTGGCAGTTCACTGTTTTAATCTGCATTTCCCTAAAGGGCTAATGAACAGTGTTGAATATTATTTTCACAGGCTTGTTGGCTATTTGTGTATCTTCTTTGGAGAAATGTCTATTCAAGTCCTTTGTCCCTTTTCTTTTCTTTTCTTTTTGTAATTTGTAAATTTTTTTTTGGTGGGGGAGGGAGGTAATTAGGTTTATTTATTTATTTACATTTTGGAGGAGGTGCTGGGGATTGAACCCAGGACCTTGTGCATGCCAGGCATGTGCTCTATTGCAAATATTTTTTCAATCTGTGGATTGTCTTTTTACTTTCTTGATATTGTCCTTGGAAATACGAAGTTTTTAATTTTGACGAGATCTAATTTTGTTTCCTCTTGTTGCTTGTGCTTTTGGTGGTTTGAAAAGTCAGGGTTTAGTTGAAATGCTTAAGGAAGTTTGAGCTGATTTTGGTCATAGAGAGAAGCTCAGTGGACGCCCATTAGTGGTTGATGTAGGCGTTGTGATACACACCAGTGTCTACATCTGACAGACTCTTCACTGCTCTTTAACTCCATTCCCTCCCATCTCCTCCTTGTACTATTGTTGTTATGCAAGTTGTCTCTAAATATGTTACAAACTAACCTTAAGTTGTCATAATTATTTTTTCATAACTGGTTGCATGTTTACCTGTTCCAGACCTCTTGTTTTGTTTTCTTGTGAATTTGAATTACTACCTGGCATCATTTGCTTTCAGCCTAAAAGAACTCCATTGGTATTTCTTAAAAGGCAGGTCTGTAGCAGCAGATTCTCTCAGCTTCGGTTTATCTGGTACTGTCTTTATTTTACCTTCATCTTTGAAAGATAGGTTTGCTGGATGTAAAATTCTCGGTTGACGTCAGTCTTCCAACACGCTGTCTGCGTAGTCCCACTGCCCTCTGGCCTCCACTGTCTCTGACGAGAAGCCGGCTGTTAATCTTCACGGGGCTCCCTGTGTGCGATGCGTCATCTTTGCTGCTTTCATGATTTTCTCTTTGCTTTTACGCATTTTGACTGTGATGTGTCTTGATGTAGATCCCTTTGTGTTTATTCTGTTTGGAGTTTGTTTATCCTGCTGGACGTTCGTTGAGTTTGCATGTGTAGGTTAGCTTTTTCCATCACATTTGACAGGTGTTCGGCCGTAACGTCCTTGAATGTGTTTCCTGCCTCTTTCTGTCTCTCCTCCTCCTGGTACTCGTGTGGTACGTTGGCTAGTGTGCTGCGTGGTGCCTCAGGCTCGGTTTGTTCCTCTGCCAGGCACTCTGTAGGGCGGCCCCCCTCTGTCCAAGGCCCTGTGCCTTCCGGGGGTGCAGTTTCTATTCAGCGTCCTTCAGGTGCGCTGGTTCTTTCCTCTGCCAGCTGAGACCTACTTTTGAGTCTCTCTAGTGAAATTTTTCATTGTGATTACTGCACTTTTTGCTCCAGAACTTTATTTCACTTTTAAGGAATTCTGTCCTGTTGCAGTGTTCTGTCTAATGAGACGCTGTCCTCATCCTTTCCTGTTGTTGTTCAGGCACTGTCTCCTGGGGCCGCGTTTACAGTGGCTGTTGTGGAACTGCTGCCAAGTCCAGTATGTCCCCCTGCCCGAAGCAGCTCCTGGCGCCCAGCTCTTGTTTTCTGTTTCTTGGCGAGGGTCCTACTTTGTTGTTGAAAGACCTTCAGACACTGTAGCATCAGCACCTTTTCTGTTAAGTGGAGAATGTCCAGGTGACAGTGGAGGTGGCTGTGTGCTCACAGATCTGTGTGACCACGTCCACGCGGCCCCTTATCTCCCGTGGCTCCTCCTTGCCAGGGTCTTGGCTCAGGTGGCCTGCTCTGCCCCTCCCTGGCTGCCACCCTGGCTCCTGCCCAACTCGCGCTCTGCTTCTGTGTCAGATCTCTGGTGTCTTGTTTACTGACTGCCTCTCCCCATCCTGAGGGCTCCGCTTCAGCTGGGGCTTCTCCATTAGGCACTCGGGGCTGCAGGCCAGCCTGGCACCTGCTCGGCCGCACCCCAGCCCTGTCTCTGTCCGTGACTCCCCTTCCGGGGCCCCTGTCCTGGAGCTTGGACCTGAATGAGCCAGCCGGGCCTCAGGCGGGTTTTGGGTGATCATGGTGTGGCGGGCAGGGGGACGTGGAGGGTTCTGAAATCTTGGTGCGGGGGTGAGTGCGGGTAGGAAACAGGCCTGGAGAGAGATTGCTGAGATGGAACACGGGCTGTGCAGTGGGAGGAGGAGAAAGAAGACTTAGGTCAGGAGGGAAAGCTGGTTCCTCCCACAAGAGCTCCTGATGTTGAGACTGGTTTAGAATCGTTCCTGATCCTGATCTGGGCTCAGGTCGAACCCTCAGCAGGGCTCGCGTGGTGAGCAGCCTGAGGGCGCTGCGGTCTGAGCTCCTCTCCGGGTCCCGCCCTCACTGGGGGGTCTCTGAAGCCACGGAGCGAGCCTCAGTTTCTCTCTGTCCTCCCCAGGAGTTGGCTTTCCCGAGCGCCGGTGTCTTCGCTGGGACCACGATAGAGCCCGGTGCCCTGGTGCAGAAGCTGGACGAGGACGTGAGGAGCAGGGCCTCCACCAGGAGAGGTGAGGGGCACGCGGCCCCGGACGGGTGTGGGGCTGGCACCAGCCCACCACCACATCCTCCCGGGCATGGCAGGGCCGATGCCAGGTTAGCCTGGACACTTGGAAGGGAGTTTTCCACCAGTGGGAGATTCTGAAGGACTCTGGACAGAAAGGCGGTGTTGGGAAAGCCCCTGTGCCCACTGCCGCCTTCAGCACGCACGGCGCTGGCTTGTTACCGTCATCACCTTGATACTGGCTTGTCCTGAAGCATCTTCCTCAGGAATTCTTTCGTGTGCCTTTCTGGGGGCTCATAGAAGAAAGCCAGAAACACGCCTGAGAGGCCGTTTTCACACCCGAACGTGTCAGTGGTGATTCCGCATTTCGGATACACGAAGTGGAGGAAGCCCACAGCTCCACGATTGCCTCGTGGCGCTTCCTGGTCCCGGTCAGGTGTGAACGCAGGCCGCGCCGCCCGGCAGCCCCGCCCCCTTTTCCTTCCCATCCCGGGGCTCCTTTTTCTGGCTGCACTTCCCTCACGTTGGACTTGCTGGTTGCACCCCTTTTGTCTTCATGCCACTCTGGCACAGTGACGCTCTGAGAGCTTCCTGCCTGGGCTGGTCCTGGAGGTGGGGGCGGCCCCCACCCCCCACGCAGACACACCACCGCCTTGATGCCGCAGAGGCGAGCTGCTCGCTTGCAGCCGAGCGACTGCAAGTAGTGGTGTCGCAGCCCTGCGGGCGGCTGTCCGGCCCTCTGGGGCAGAGCTGGTGCAAGCAGCTTTCAGGTGTTTCGTATGAGTTCCACCTGCAGTTTGGAAACGACCGTTGGAGCTTTAAGTTACTGCTTATTCTTGTTTCACTGGGGGGTTATCCACGTCTGCCTGACGTTCTCTGTGCGCTGAAACTGCAGAGGGGGCCTCTCTCCTCCACCCTCCGGGGTCTTGGCTAGGACCCTGTAAATTAGACCAGCCGAAGACAGGTGAGCGGGAGAAGCACAGCTTAGTGACGGACACACGCAGGTCCCGCCCGTGGGGGCCTCAGCGAGGAGCCACTCGAGGCGAGGTTGGGACTGGGGCCCCTGCAGCGTCTCTGCGAGGAGCAGCGATGCTGAGGCCCCGGGGGCACCCCTGGGAGTGGGTGCCCGGGGCAGGCTGGTGAGCGCGGGTCCGCCTGGCACCGACCCCGGGGTCCTCGCGGCCACGTGGTGTCCTCAGACGGGGGTTCATGACAGCCCTCGTCTCAGGACTCTCTGGCTTTGGTCGGATAAGGGGAGCTCTGGGAAGGCTTCTCTCGGCCCTTGCTGATTCTGTTTGCCTCCAGCTCACCGTGGCCCCAGCCCCCGAGTGGCGTGTCTTGGGGGACACAGACCCTCCTGCTGACCATTTCTTGGAATGGATTCCGCGGAGCAGGGCTCCAGCTGCGTCCTGCCCGTGTGCTGTCCGAATGACGCCGCAGGGACCTGCCGCGTCGGGCAGGGCGGGCAGGCGCCACTGCCCTCGGGTCTTTGGTGACTGACGTGTTCAAACGGTTGTCAGTGTGCTCACTGGTTCTCTTACGGTTTGTCTGTGTACCGGGCTGTCTTGGTGACTTTTCCTAAACTTGAATGAGTGCTTTACGTGCTGTAGCACGAGGCTCTTCACCGTCTTGTGCAGAAGCTCTTCCAGCTGCTGCGGGTTGCCGTTGTCCCCCCAGAAAGCTGGCAAGTGCTGTTCTCCGGCGGTTTCCCGTGTCGGCCATCCTGCCCCCCGGCGGGTCGCCCGGCGGCCGCTCTCCCCTCTGTCCCACCTCCCCTGGGGGTTGTGGGCTCGAGTTTGCCTTCCGACCACGGGATGGGCTCTGCCTGGTCGGTCCAGGTGGGTGTGCGGTCCTGCCTGGTGAGCGCCCACCCAGGAAGGTGTCCGGTCTCCCCTGCTCAGGCTGAGTGCCCATGGTGGCAGAGGCAGTGGGGAGAGGAACGTCCCAGCCCGCGGACCCTCTCCCCTTCTCGTTTGCCTCTCACGGTCGTCCTTCACACGGATTCTCACTTACCTGAAAGGGTGGGGCCTGCAGGGGACAAGCCCCCAGCCCTGCGCCTGCCTCTGACCTGCCCCTCCGTGAGGGGCGGCTCAGGCGAGGACCTGGGGCAGAGGGCGGGAGAAGCTGTCTGTGCTGTGGCCCACACCCCCGAGCAGTCTGGAGGGCTGGAGGGGACGGAGCATTAGCTTGGAGATGCGGGACCTGTGTTGGAGCCCCAGTGCTGTGCCTTGTTGGCTGCTGGATTTTGGAGCATCTTTTTATCTATGTTCATCAGGTGAGCATGGCATCTGTCGGGCAGATGTACAGTGTGGGCCTGCCTGGGACGTGTCCAGGGCTCCTTCAGCCGTGCCCCATGTCAGTGAAGCGCTGACACAGCTTGTCCTCTGTCCCAGAGGAGGACGCGGTGCAACAGAGGAGAGGTGGCTGAGCTCAGAGCTGCGAGGCCCTGCCTGGGAATGGAGTGACAGCCAGGCCTCCCTCTGGCACCTCTGAGATGTTTTCTGGGGGAATCGTCAGAGCTCCCCAGTGCAGATAGGGGCCAAAGCTTTGCCCTTGGCTTGGGCTGGCCCGAGGTCAGCACTGGGGACCCATCCCAGACCTGCTGAACCTGTTACCACACACCCTCTTGGGGTCTCCAGTGCTGCCAAGTTCAGGACACTGACCCTGAGCCTGGTGGGTCCTGCCTTGCAGCTACAGGAGCACGGAAGCCCCCCATCTCCTCTCGGAGCCCAGGGTCTCCTCGTCCTGAGCTTCGAGGCACTGCCATCCAGATCCCCGATCCGTCCTCGCAGCCTAACCTACTGTCTCCTGATCTGGTCCCCGGGGTGGCGGTGCCTTGGTGCGAGCCTGTGGGTCTGGGCGCTCTCATTGGCGGGCGTCTCAGTGCGCAGCAGGAAGAGCTCCAGCCCTACGCCTCTGCACTGAGGCTGAGGGATGTGAGAGAATCCTGGGCCTCCACCGATGGTATCGGCTGCCCGGGGGCGTGGCCAGAATGTGCTTAAAACTTCGGGTGGTGTGGGCCTGAGAACCACAGGGGTGGGAGGGGGAACAGGGAGAGAAAGAAGCAAGGTGTTTGTTTTCCTTTGTGAATGGTCGGTGGGTGAGGCCACGCAGGGGAAGGAGCAGCTGAGAAGTCTGTTGCACTCACAGGTCCTAGGGGCGGGAGCAGGGCCGCAGGACCACGGGGGAGGAATCGGGGAGACCAGGAGGCAGCAAACGGGGATTGCCCGCCCCGGAATGGGGTCTCCCCCAGCCAGAAAGTTTTTTTTAGGATGTGAAAATGTCGTATTATACAGAGAATTAAAGAATATTTACAGGAGAAGAGGGCCTGGACTGTGAGGTGCAGAGGTCAGAGAGCCCAGGGTGCTGGAGGAAACAGGCGGGCAGCTGGGCCGGCGCTGCTGGGGGTGCGGGGTTCGGGGTGCGGGGCGTGTGCTTGCTGGCACGGGAGCCTCCCAGGCTGGTGGCTTGGGTGTGGCCTCAGCTGCTCATCTGTAAAAGGGGGTGACAACAGGACTTGCCCCCTAAGTGCTGCCTGTTTGGGGTTCAGGTGAGGCAGTAAGCGTGGAATGTTGGGACCAGTGCCTGGCTTCAGTAAGTGCCCAGCTGGCGCTGTGGGAGGGACTGTGTGTCCTGTCGAGCGAGGACCCTCTCTGCAGGCCGAGCTGCCCAGACGCCCCCGGGGCCCAGTGCAGATGTCTGTCACCCTCCCCACGCCTCCTTCTCCAGCAGTTCCTGTGCTTTTGGTGTTTGTCAGCCTCGCCTCCCTATTGGCCAGCACCCTGGACCCCTTGGGGACGACGGTCCTGGTGGCTCCCCTGGGCTTGACAGGGGCCGGCAGCCTGGGGCAGGTGAGGTCACGGGGAAAGTGGCATCTGGTGACTCAGCCGCTGCTCAGGGAGCTGCCGGGCTGTGAAGGCACGGGCTCCTGTCTGCCTGGATTAGCACACGCCCTTCCTGCGTCCTTGCCGTCCCTGCGTCCTTGCCGTCCCTGCGTCTCTGGCTGCAGTGCCTTCCCGCACCGCCAGTGTGGTCTGCCGGGGCAGGTTGTGGGCGCCTTGCCCGCCTCCATGGGGGAGGGATGTCTGCTGCTCCCTTCCCGTGTGTGGACGTGCTCATGCCGTCGCCCGCGACCCGGGCTCCGTGGGGCCTGTTTGGCCTGTGGGGGTCTTGCTGGCGGCGTCTCTCCTGTACTTCTGCGCAGAGCCTCTGGGAGCCCTGCCGGCTCAGCAGCCAGGCCTACTCCAGGTTTCCTTCTGATGCCCCGCTGGGGCTCTGAGCTGCGGGGAACCACTGGCCTCCCCTCAGCCCCTCGGACAGCCCCCGCCCACCAGCAGCAGAATGTGGCTGTGTCCTGAGGGTCAGGGCCCGTGGGCCTGTGGGCCTGCACAGGAAGCGGCTTCCCAGCTCCTCTGCGTCTGCTCTCGGGGCAGGGACTCGGGCGAGTGGCAGGTCTGGAGCAGGCACCCTGGCCTCTGCGTTCGTCCCCTCCTGCACGGGGGCGCCACCTTGCAAATCCGGTTTCCAGTTCTACATTCCTTTGTCCTGAAAAGTTGTAGGAAACAAGCCCCTCTCTGCTCAGACAAGCACCTGGGGTATCGGCCAGGACTCTGTACCCTGAGCCGGGGAGTTCCGACCCCCAGACTCAGGTGAGACGTAAGCAGGTGCGGTGGGCCTGGAGGACAGGAGGGGGGAGGTGGTGGCGGCAGCGTGCCTCCAGGGGAAAGTGATGGTGGTGAGTGGACAAGACATGCTTCGAGGCTGCAGCGGGGGGACTTTGCCTTGGGGACGCGATGTCCGTCTCCTGGGGACGGTGCGGCTGAGACGGTCTCCCCTCCCCGGACCAGGCGGCCAGAGCTTCCCCGCCCCGCGCTGGCCACCCGCCGCGGGGCCCCCCCGAAGCTCCTACTCCAGAGCCGCTGCTCAGTAGAGGGCAGCGGAGCCGCGTCTGCTTGGAGCCGGAGCCGGGCCTGCTTCCCGACAGGAGGTGGAGCTGGGCGCTTTCCA